ACAAGTATCTATAGATATCCTAATATCCACAAGCATCACAAGAAAAGATGGGAGTTAGATACTGCTCCCCAGAACCATCAGCCTATCCACCCCAACAGCAAGAACTTCTGGAGAATGGGGTCAATGGTTGGGAACAAAACAAAACAACAACAAAAACCTCCCAAGGAACTAGAATTCAGAGCTTAATATCTAAATTAGCTATGAGTAAATTTTTAGCTATCTCTAAATGTTTACCTACAATGTAGAATATTATTTAGACATTCTTTCTACACATTTCAGGCTCCTGAATAATTTAATCTGTCATTTTCTTGTCTTTCATAAGTATATAGATAAATAATATCTGTTGTATTGAACTTCCCTATATTTCACTCACAGAAAATCTTCTTGTGCTATCATGCTCACCATACTTCTCCTTCCCAACTTTTGGAACTTTACCTAAATGTGTAAGAAAAATGGAATTTCTTCTATAATCTACTATAGTCTTAATCTATTCAAGAATATTTGAAGACATAATCCTTTCCATGGGAGCACAATGTAGATTTAGGTATATCAATATTTAAATTATTTTTAATTCCAAGGATTAAAGTATAAATGTAAAGTATAAGTATAGCATATGAATATGACAGTATAAAATCTGAATAGATTCAGAATTGGTGTGCCTGATGAGTTAGGGGACAACCATATCTAACTCTGAAGTATTCACTGATTTAAAGTCATGTCTCTTAGGCTATGCAGTGCGGTTGCATGATTTACTAAATTAAAAGGACATTTTAATCTCAGTGCTTCAAAAATAATAATATTGTACATTGAAATCAGGATTCAGAAGAAACTAGCAAAGAGTTCAAACTCTCAAATTCATTTTTTTAATCTATTATCACATTTTATTTAGATGCTTACATATTTGTTAACTCTCTTGTTAGAACTGAGTGAAAGACAGGGACAAAATCTATGTTTCTGTTTCCAGCACCTACCAAGGGCTTTACGCTTACTCTGGGCTCAGTGAATGTTTATAGAAGAAATCAATGAATGAGTTATAGAGTGATTTCCCCAAGCACATGTGATTTTTTTTTTCTGGTTATTTGTCCCCTTCACTGCACATTATTTATATATTGCTTATCGTGTGTGTGTGTGTGTTATATTTTGCATATACTCCCTTGTAGAACAAAAACTCTTTGGCAAAGATAGCCTCTGTGGAATAATGGCGCCCAAAGATGTCCAGTCCTAATCCTTGACACCTATGAATATGTTATCTTGTGATGGTAGATTATCCTGGATTATTTGGGTGGGTCCAATGCAATCACAAGGCTCCTAAAAAGTGGAAGGGGGAGGCAGACAAGGAAGACTCCAACCACTATTGCTGGTAGATGATGTAGGAAGGGGACATAGCCAAGGAAAGCAGCCAGCCTCTAGATCCTGGAAAAAGCAAGACAACAGATTCTCCCCTAGAGTCTTTAGAAAGGAACACAGCCCTACTGACACCTTGATTTTAGCTCAGCAAGACCCATGTCAGATTGTCAGAAACTATGAGATAATCAATAAAGAGAGTTTAAGCCATTAAGTTTGTAGTAATTTGTAACAACAGTAATAGAAGACGAATACAGTCTCTGACACACCTTTTGTACCCCCTTCAGCTACTGACACAGGATGTTGCACAAAAAGACTCAGGTTAATCTTTCTCATCACTTCCTTTATCTTTTACATTAGCGTTTGTTACCCCATTCCATGCTGGAGTGGGACAGCATTAATCAAGATTCGTCTGTTTGCAAATGACAGAAAGCTAACACAAACTCACTCAAGCAAAAGAAGCAGGAGGTACACATCTCATAGAAGTGGGACCTCCAAGGGATGGAACTGGGTTTCAGTTCCAACTATAATGAGGTCCCAAATCAGTCCACAAAGACTTTCTGTTTCTCTAATCTGCTTTCCTCTCTACACAAGCTTCTGTGTTTCTATAATTCACATTTTTAGTGGCAAGACTGCCCTCTTTGTCTTTCAGGAAAGGATTCTAATTTGCCCGTCTTTGTAGCTTAGGAGGTTGAAAGGTGCTATGATTATCCATTGTTACATTAAAAACTTATTGGCTAAAAGTACAAACATCTATTTTATTTACTTGAGGTTCTGCAATTTGGGCAAAGCTATGGGGAATAGCTCATATCCACTTCACGTGACACCAGCCTGAGGCAGCTAATTGGAGCTCAAGGATTCACTTCCAAGATGGCCTCACTCATGCAAGTTGGTGCTGGCTGTTTGCTGTTTGCTCAACTGGGGTTGTCAGCTGGAAGACTCAGTTCTTCATGTGACTGCTCCAAATGGTTGGGCTTCTCACGGTACAGCAGTCTTAGAGTAGTTGAACTTTGTACATAGCCACTGACTTCCCACCCGAGTGCAAAGTAGAAGCTTCTCTAGGCCTTTTTAAGATTTAGCCCAATACTGATCCAAAGTCACTTGTGCCGCATTCTATTGATTAAAGCAGATCACGGAGCCCAGTTCAGATTCGAGGAGAGGAGACTACATCCACAAAGATATGAATGCCATTGCCATGGTTCACTGGGGCCACCAGTAGCAGTCTACCACAGTGGATAATGGAGCTTTGTGAGTGACTGTCCACAAAAGACCTTGGGGGAAATAAATTGTAAGGGCTATCCCACAAAGAAAAGGGGCTGAACACAAACCTCAGGTATCCTTAACCATCAGTTTCAAGAGTGCTAGAAAATACTAAATAAAGCAAAACTGCATTTCCCTCTAAGTATATTTACTATATAGTTTGTAGAATTTCTGGAGTTGGAGATGTAATTAAAAATTGAGGATTAAAGTTAAGAAGTTGCAACTTTTTTCCCTATTCAATTTTTTTATTCTGTGAATGAAAATGATGATAATATATGCTAGATACTACTACAAAGGAATTAAATGGTTCAAGATTCATGATGAATAAACTATAATGTGGCTAATCCAGTGGTGTTTATTTACAGTAACCTTTTTAATGTGACAATTCCTTGGATATTGTAGTGAAATATTTTCACCCTACACCTACATTTTTATGGTTTGTATTTATTCTCCACAGTACAGATCCCAAAATGTCAAATTACTAGAGCTGTTTTATGGAAATTAGTTTTAGGTTAGACTATTTGAAATGCATTAAATTAATTTTATCTGTTTAGCAAAGTACAAGAAGGTTTTTCACATTAACAAAGTTTTCTTTATAATATCAGCTGTGTGTGTATGTTTAAAGACATGATGGACTCAAATCACTCTTGTTTGAATATTATATTTAGCAAATGAACATGCGCTGTTGGGGATTAAACAGTATTTGGAAAATGTATGTGTAAGGATTATTTAGAATGGAATTGCCAAAAATCCTGGAATATTTAATACACACTTGTTGATTGATTTTACTGCAATAAATACGAAGCAATAACAACTATATAAATTATTCAGAGACTAGTCATCCACAGCAGGATTCTTTAGAGATTACTTCAGAAACAGTTTGGCAGGGTATTCTTTTTAGAGTTTTTTTTTTTTTTTTCCAAATCCATGTACAAAAGAGATATAGATCCATATGGAATGGATTAACATTGATTCTTTTAAAATGAAATTAAACATTTTAAAACATTCAAGTAAAGATTGTATGATCTTTCCTACTAAAGCTCTCTTTGGTAATTTATTTATCTTAAATATTATTTTTGTCTTTCAGGAGGCATTATATAGCGAATGTAAGAGATTTATTAAAAACCTTGGATCGCTTGAGAGTGCTTTAGTACTTTGCCTCAAAATCTGCACATAGGCAAAATTCCTGATATTATGAGTTGGGATTTTCAGTTTAAGAAGATTTAAAATCTCTGCTAAAGCAAGGGCTTGTTAGGTGTTTCTAAGCACTATATATCAGAGAGACCCAGCTACTTACCAATCATTCAAACTAAAATGGGGCAGGACAGGACACATGGAATCAAAGAGACCAATTTAGACCAAGTAGAAGGTATCAAGTTCTCTTAAAATTGGTCTTTTGGGGCACCTGGGTGGCTCAGTTGGTTAAGCGACTGCCTTCGGCTCAGGTCATGATCCTGGAGTCCCGGGATCGAGTCCCACATCGGGCTCCCTGCTCAGCGGGGGTCTGCTTCTCCCTCTGACCCTCTTCCCTCTCGTGCTCCCTATCTCTCATTCTCTCTTTCTCAAGTAAATAAATAAAATCTTAAAAAAAAAAAAAAATTGGTCTTTTGTTCTAGAAAGACACCCAGCTCCAGAAGCAGATAGAATAATCAGTATTTACATAGGTATGGATCTCTTTGTATATGCAGATCCAGATCACTTTTTAAAGATTCTCAATCATTAAAGCAGTTGGAGACATAGTGTTGAAAAGAGTAAATGTTTGCAGATTTGGAGTTAGAGACCCCAATTATCTACTTATAAGTCATGTGACTTTGATACAGTTCTAATGACTTTTTTTTTTTTTTGCATAATAATCCTTTTGGTTTCCAGTTCCCCACTATCTTGAGGTTGTTCTGAAGATCCAATGAAAGAATGCCAAAATACTTTACACACTGCAAAGCATTACATTATTAAAATTTACATTATGACTACTATTACTAATAAAACATGACTGGATGACTGGCCTATAAATAATTCACTGAAAAATCCAAGTTGATTGGATGTGTTTTATTTTTTTAAAAAATATGTTCATTTAAAAGGTATTTATGAGATCCAAAGTAGTCAATGCTTTTGTTCCCGTTATTTTTGAAGTACTAACCCTTACATTATTGACTTTCAATGAACACAAAATCTGGAGAGATGAACATACAAATTTTTGCTGAACAGTTGGGGATTTTATTTCACTAACTGCAACCCAGAAGGGTCATGGCTGTTTATAAAAGAAAGAAATTTGCCTCCTGGTATGATTGGTTTCTTGAGATGATTTGTATCCAGTTGGAGGTCTGGCAATGGTGTGGGGTGCGTGGGACCATTGGATATTTTTGTTAATGGTTTATTTCTCTGTGTTTCTCTCCCAGCTATCGGCAGGACCCTTATCCCCCGTTACTTTAGCACTGTGTTTGAAGGAGGGGTGACCGACCTGTATTACATCCTCAAACACTCGAAAGAGTCATACCACAATTCATCCATCACAGTGGACTGCGACCAGTGTGCTATGGTCACCCAGCATGGGAAGCCCATGTTTACCAAGGTACAGGACATACTCAGCAACTTGGCTTGTTCTTCTGTGGGTGTATTGAAGGATAATAATTATGCTTTTCTTCAGGAACTTTGAGGTGATTTCTCACATCTCAGACACTCTTAGCACTATGAGATAATCTCTTTTGTTTGTGACATGGCTAGACTCTTGGTGAACACTGTTCTTAGATGTGTGCAAATGATACAGAGCAAATATGATAGAGCCTCAAAACCAAGAGAGACAGAGTTTTGGCTGCCTGTTAAACTCAGGTTGCTAAATTAGAATTTTGATTGTTAAACAAAGAATATTCTATAGCTAGAAGAACATTCTCCCATTGTTGTGTGGTCAGTATTTGTGTTTTGTTTGTAAAATTAAATACTTTTTAAAGCTAAATTCAAATGTTAACAAACAGGGATAAAAGCAACTAACTACAACTCAACTAGTTGTAACCTTTAAGGAACATAAAAATATAAATGAAACTAAGGAATTCGGAGTTTAAAGTTTGTTTCTCCAAATTCTGAGAAGTTCTGTGGTTGGTCAGTCAGCAAGTGAGGACAGTAGAGCCAAAAGTTGGTTATGAGAAAATGAGAAACACAGGGGAGGATGGTGGGTGGAGGACCAGGTAACACAACCTTTGAGGCACAATTCAAGGCTCTATGAAGGATGTGAAGTGAAAGAGAATGTCTTCTATAAGTTCTACACCTATGACACTTCCCATCCACAGACAACTGACATGTGGAATATTCCCTCTGTGCAAAGACCTTTCTGGAACACTACAGACAATCCCTTTATGTCCTCTCCCAAGTAGCAAAATTAGTAAGAACAAATAGCCAGAGAATCTGACAAACAGAAGTTTATTTTAATTAACACTAGTTACTGCATTTTGACGAAGACTCAATGTGAAACTAATCTGTAATATTAATGACAGCAGCTATCTCTTTTAGTTGAAAACGCATATGACAATCCCGTCTTTATAGTTGAGAAGTTGAATTTCAGGGTTAATTGCAAAAGCCCAAATTACAAGACTAAGATGTGTTTGTTACTTGTGCACGGTTTTCCCAAAAGAATAAAGTAAAATGTTTATCATTTAAAGTATCCACTGATCTTGTTGGTGCAGCTTCATCTTCCCAGTTGCTCACGATGATGTAAAAAACCAAGGGCAAAGGAAATGGTGATAAAATGCAAAAGCAAATCATCAAATGTCATTGATTTTGTGGTATCTTGATTTTGTCAGTAGACATTTTAAATGTGGGGCAGAAGTTGGGTTTTTCTCTTTCTTCCTTTTTAACAGTTGAACAGAAAGGAAAGTTGCCAATCAGGGACAAAGAACATTCATTCCCACTGTATGCAGAAGTCCGTGCTGGGAAGAGAGTTTAGTTACATGGAAAGGAATGATCACCTGGATGACAAGTTTAATCTGCCCATGTCTCACTTCATTTTGGAGATGTAAAATATTTACATAATCTTGTATCTCAGATGGATAACACAACCTATTTCAAATGTTAGGAAATCAGAGCCCCACAGAGAAAAGCTTTCTCAGCTAGCTCATTATTGTTTTTTGTTTTGTTCTGTTTTGTTTTTGTCTAGGTTTAGCATTATGTTTAGGTAATCAAGGAAAACATGCCAATTCCTTATGCTTTAAGGGAAAAAAGAAATCCATGGAAATTAAATAAAATGGCTGTAATGAAGAAGCTACATCCAAAGCCTATAGCCATTGAAAATAAAAATGCATTTTGTGTCATCCCTTTAATAAAACATAAAATATTTTATATAATCACAATAATATAATATTTTATAATAAATTTTATAATAAATAATTTTAAGATAATGTGTAATATTTTATATACATGTAAAATATATACTAAAAGGTAGTCCTTTATATTTTCTCAATTTCTTTCATTCCAGGCCAAAGTTTTTTCATAAATGAGCATAGTCAGCTGCTCTGAAGGTAAAATGCTGTATATTCAGGACGGGTTTTAAATTTTTAAAAAATCTCATTCTTCTGATGAATTGATAAAGTGCCTTTTTTCACTCAAATCAAGAAGTGAAGGTTTCCCTCTGTTTCAATTTTTCCTCACCCAGGAACGCTTCCCTCTCAGATGGCCACAGGGAAGACCAGAGCAGCCTCCTCCTGAACTCAGCTCTTTCAGCCCCAAACATCAATTATTCAGGTCACCTCTCACTCTACTCTATGGCAATACATTTCCCAACTCTCATAATGAATATTTCCATACTGTGATGAAAAATATCACTTTCTGGGAAATGCAGCCTAGCTATGTGGACTTAGTGCAGATGCTAATTATGCACATTTATTTTTAGAAAATTCTAAAGCATTCATTTTTTTCTTTTTACTTTTTTCTTTTCTTCCCCCTCCTTCGTGATTATTATACTACCCAAAGAATACGTCCAATTTTTCTTTTGTTCTTATATTAATTAAAAATAACCCATCTTCGTGTAATAAAATAATGTATTTAGTATAAAACAGTGAGCTAATGACCTTTCAGTATCGCAAAGAAAAATATAGTCTGGAATCCACTGCTTTATTTTTAAAGGGGAGCCCGCTGAACATGGAATTACTTGAGCACATTATGTACAGGCATATCACATTGTTCTAATTTAGACTATCAATACACTCTAATTCCCCAAATAGCATTTGACCCAGTGGTTCTGAGTTTCTTTTATGAAAATTTGGTCAACTGGTGAATCAAAAATCAGTCGCAGTCCTAATCAACAGTAATATTTAATATTCCTCAGGAGTATAGTGCACATTTTGCAATTTCCTGATCCTAGGACTATTATAGATTATGGATAAATATGTAATTAGAGTTTTAAAACACACATTATGAGCCTTTCTTTTCTGTGTTCAATTTCGAATCAAATTGAAAACAAGGCTTAATAATCTGAAGAGCAATCACCAAGGTTTTCAGAATCAAAGACCCTTGAATTATATTTGAGGGTGTGAATACTGGCAGATGCTGAGAGGAGCCCTCTCTGGGGTACACATCAGGCTACTTTTTTTTTTTAGATTTTGCAAACTAATAGTAATAGTTACAGCCATTACCAAACACCCTTATCACTCTGCAAACATGGCTTTATGTTTTCTCTGATCTTGATTATTTATTATGCAATTATTTATTACTATAGAAAAGTACCCTGGAAGTGCCCCAGCCACTTTCCCTATATGAATACTTACTCATGTCTTTGACATCATTCCTATCTTAGCCTGTCTACAACATTATAGTCCAGGATTTATCCATTTCTACCCTTATCCCAGCTCCAGTCGAATTAGTATAATATCAATGATCATATTGCTCTAATATACGTATCCATATGCATTTACATATGTAGTATCTCCACGTAAAATACGATGAGCTTTATGCAATTGTTAATTTGAAAGCAGTATTTCATGCATAAAGACCAAGAAAACAAAGTAAACACTTCTACCTAAAAAGCACATTTTCTTTCCTAACAGCTCTATGAAAATCACTTGTGTTATACAACGGCATGGTCAGCATTGCTTTATAATTAGTCAGAGAAAGAAAAGGGTTAAAAAGCTACCGGTTAGTTTGAGAAATGTTCTTTTTTAGTTCTCTTGTTCCTGGCCTAGTCTCAAGCTAGCACGTGATCCGCTGAATGCCTGCCAGCCTCTTTCTTGTTGATCCTCCGGAGACCATCTGTGCTGGGGGCATTGATTAGAGTGTGTCTGCTGGGATTACATCTTTTCTGTTGCCATGCCAACTAATCAGCTGATTTTGGTTACCACAGAAACAAAATGTCAGAGCTCACAGTACGGTAACATGAATTCAGCACAACAGAAAATGTTTTCTTAATTGGGGACCCTTTTGATTTTGGATTCCAAGTGAAAGGCAGCTTTAAAAAAAAAGGCCAACTTTAGATAAAAGCTACATTAATTGTATTGATTAAGAGGAATGCACAGAATTTTTCTGAAAAGAGAAAATATTAATTCCCCTTTATAAGCTGTGTCTGTTTTTTACTATTTCCAGACAAGGAGTATATATATATATTTTTTCTTAGGCCCTTCTATTCCATTTGCTGATTGTCGCATGTAAAATAAATCACAAAGCCTTCAGTTTCCTTTAACTGCCGTGATGGGAGCAGGACACAGGGAGGCCAAATAGGGCTTGGGAGAAGGCCATGGATAAAACTGCCTGGGGCAGGGGGAGACCAAGAGTGACAAATTCTCCTCCATTCTTCCATTCAAGGAAGTCATTTAATTTTCCTTAAAGAAAACACCCAACACAGTCAGCTTGGATTCAATTTTAAGGATTCCTCTCTTGTGCGTGATATGCTCTGGATATTTCTTGGTTTGAGCTGACAAAGGAGAAGCCCAGGGCTTGTTGCAGTTTTCCCTTTTGTAGGCCCATGACAGTTTGAAGGCAAGAAGGGTCCTCAACTGGTTTGCTCTGTCATGGTAAACAGAGAATACTATTTGACTTGACCTTACAGATCCTCCAGTTGAGTAACTCATCAGAAGGATTCCATCTATGCCTTCACATTATGAAACTCTATTCCAGTAGAAGTAAACCAGAACCTCTATCTGCCCTGGATCTGTGGTTCATAAACACAAAACAAATAGATTAGATAAGAAAAAAGCATGATATTTAACTGGGCTAATATTTGTTTAAACATCTAATAATCCCCCTTCTTTAAAAAAAAAAAAAAGGATTATAGCATCCAAATATCCCTGTCCTCTACTCTCAAGACATTTCAACTGTCCCTGACTGACTGCAGTCACCTCCCTTTTGTGAAAGTTTTCACTGCAGGTGGCTTCTGTCATACTAACACCCTGGGGGGAATTGTGTGGCTTAATCTCCATGAAACCCTTTTGAAAACCTTGGTGAATTCCAATGCTAAGGATGTTCTAGAGGAGTGGTTTGAGGACAACGAAAGTCTTCCCCCATTTCTGAGTGCACAACACTCATGGCTAATGTGCCAGAGAGGAAGCTCTGAAAACCACTCAGTTGAGGAGGTTTGGGGCAAGGTGTCTAAATGCCCTAAAATTACCCATGGATTCTGCTAGTGGAGTCTGAGCTGAAGGTCTTCACCCAGATTATCAATAATTATCCTATGGTGCTTCTGAGACCTGTGAAAAAAAGAAAATTGTAGACGTCAATAGCATCTCTCTTAAGTAGTGTTCTGGCAACACATGTTACACTCCTTGTACTGGTATTTGGCTTGTTTAAAGAAAATATTACCAGGGCACTTGGGTGGCTCAGTCAGTTAAGCATCTGACTCTTGACTTCGGCTGAGGTCATGATCTCAGGGTCTTGCGATTGAGCCCCCCATTGGGCTCCATGCTGGGCTTGGAGCCTGCTTAAGATTCTCTCCCCCTCTCCTTCTCTGCGCGGACCCCCACTGGCACGTTTCTCTCTCTCTACAAAAAAAATTTTTAAAAAGAAAAAATAATAAAGAAAATACTACCTTAAATTAAATAGAAAGCATCTAACCCAGTGCCTAGGACATAGTTGGAATTCAATAAATGGTGGCCTTCCGTATTAAATTCCCAAAGAGAGAAATGGTTATTAATACCTCATAAAAGGTTGAAATCAATTGCTAATTATCTTCATGGACTATAGTTTCAGAAATGAGCATACCCTCTATTGAGTCTATTGAGTCTATTTATGATTTTTAAAACTTGTGTAGTGCATTGATTTCCAAAACTGTATATATTTGTCCTTAGCCTAGGAAATCTTTCTCCAAAAACGCTTGATCAGAAGCACAATATATCAAAAGGATGAAATTGAAGCTGCTTGGTCGAATTGAGAAAATGGGTGGAGATCACGTGGTCTAGATGGAGGCTGAACTCTTCCCAGCAGAGCCCCTGAGACACCTCCCTGGATCCATAGGTCTCAGAGAGCACATTATGACAACCACTAGTCTGAGGTTCTTTGTTCTTTAGTTGCATTTTTTTTATCTTTATAACTATCATTTACTGCCATCCTACTATGTGCCACATACAATACCAGGCAATCTACACACACACACCTTATCATTCATATATTTCCCCAGCAACCCAATGTAAGGTTAGTATTATCCTCATTTTACAGATGAGGAAACTGGAACCTAGGGAATTTATTTGGTTTTCTCAAAGTTCCAAAATAAGTGAAAAGTAGAGTTAAGATGGGCATCTAGTACTTTCTGATGTCAAAGTCTCTGTCTTCTCTAAAGCAAACACGAACGGAATAATTAGTTGTAACTATTTAAACTTGACCCATATGCTACCACTACTTCTTATTTTTTAGTTGAAATAGGATCAGTGGTGTCCGATTGCCTAGCATTTTCTCCCATTTCAAAGTCATTGACGGTGGAATAAAATAGGTAAATTAAATAGGAGCTACATGCTAAAAATGATCTGAATATCAAAAGAAGAAAAAAAAATGATCACCCTGTCGAGGAAGAGAGCCTCACAAATTCTATGTTTCATTAATAATACATATTTTTCTTAGAAAGATACTGTCCCTTCCCCCAAAGCCTGGCCTTTTATGCAAGCAGAATTTGTCACTGCCGATAGGATGTGATTGAAGGAAGACACTCTAAGAATGCCTCTATTTTCCGCACGCCAATAACTGATCCTGACGGTGTTGGGTTACACATTGTCCCCCTGGAATTTGTCCCTGAAAATGAAAACTTCCTCTGGTTGGGTAACCTTGTAGTAAGTCACACTTAAGCATGAATTATTTTATTAGGTACTTTCTCCCAGAGTAGGACAACCACGATTAGAACAAGATTTCATGCTCTGATGGTAGAAGAATGATGAAAACAGAGATAAGAGGAGGTGGGAGAGTATGATTTTTGCGGGGACACACCATGTGCCAGGAGCTTTTGACATAATACTGCAATAATATAGGTTTTGTTCCCATATTTGCAAATGAAGAAACAGAGGCTCATGGAGTTTTGGCAGCAACCAGTCAAGTTACTAGTAGCTCATGGCCGGTAAGCCGCTGTGCTGTCTTTTGAACCCACGGATTCTGGAGCTCATGCTTGTCTCAGTGTGCCGTGCAAAAGCACTCATGTCACATCCTTGCCAAGATCCAGCACTGCCCAAGGACAGTCAGGGAGACCATGCTGAGCAGCCGACGTGTGAGTTACAAAAATGTGGCATTCACAAACTGCAAGGCAAATGAGTGTGTTGTTTGTCGCTTCTAGGTATGTACAGAAGGCAGACTGATCTTGGAGTTCACCTTTGATGATCTCATGAGAATAAAAACATGGCACTTTACCATTAGACAATACAGAGAGTTAGTCCCAAGGAGCATTCTAGCCATGCATGTAAGTAATTTCAGCACTATTTTACTCTTTCCTCCCTTCCCCGCCTTCCCATTTACTCAAGGAGGAAAAGTCCAGTTCTCTCTGTGTGAAAGAATACCAGCAGTCTTCACGTGTTGGGTAATGAACTCTCAATTTTGAGTTTTCCCCTCAACCATTTTATTCCACAGGCCCTTTTTCCCCTCCTTTGTTTCTGAGTTTGGTGCATTGTGAGATTTTTTTTTTTTTTATATTTTATTATTTTAAACTCCAAACTGAGGTTACCTCAATAAACAGTTAGTACTTTTCTTAAATTCCACTGAGTCATTATAAAGTACTGCTCTGCCTAGGCTATTAACTGGGGAAGGAAATAAAACAAGAAGTAAGGAAAACAGTGTCCAGTTTTGATTAGAACCATCTGACAAGATGTGGGGCTCACGTACCTCAGATCTGTGTCTATATCATTCCTAACCATGGTGTTGGAATGAAGTGAGCGATTTGGGGTTCCCTCCATTTCACCTGACCATAAATCACATCACATTTACTGAGCACCAACTAGGTGCACAGCCGGATTCGATGCCAATCTGGAGATACATTTTAGAGATAAGACTTGGTAGGAGCTAGCTGAGTGCAGTCCCCAAAGAAGGCGTCAAAGGCATTGACTTAAATAAATCCCTCTTCCATAATGCATGATGCAGCAGTTTCTGTGAAAAAGCTTTGGAGCAAAATCAGACTTAATGAGCCTGATTTTTAAGACCCTGTACAATCAAAAGAGAATACAATAAGAGTAGCTAGTATTTACTGGGTGTTTGCTATGCCAGGTCTTGTGCTAAGCGTCTGTACACATTCTGTTTAACCCTCCCGGTAACCCAGAGAGGTGCAGGATCATTATCCCTGTTTTAGAAGTGAGAAAACCAAGGTTCGGGCTTGATATGTTGCTCCATGTTTCTCAGCCCGAAAGTGGCAAATCAAGATTTCAACTCTGCTGGTACGGACTCCAAAACCCAGGCTGATGAGCCATCTGTCTCCTGACTATCCAATTCCAGTCTGTCTCCCCAGGCTTTTGTCCTCGACCCTCTCCTCCCTACCGGTTAACCCAATCTCTCCCCTTCCCATTGACCTTGTACTTCCTGCTGTGGCACCCCACTCCTTTGCTCCAATATTTCCACCTATTCGTACCCCGAAGTTCTTCTCCACTTTCAAAGCCCAGTTCACATCCTCTACTCCCCTTGAAGTATCCCAGAGTAGCCGCTCTTATGTTCTCAAAATAGACTAAGAGGCAGCAGAGGGTAGTGGTTAGGAGCCCAGGCCCTGGAATGAGGTCACATACGTGTGTATCCCTGTTCCTGTGTGACCTTGGGGAAGTGACATGGCATCTCTGTGCTCCCAGTTCTTCATCTATAAGATGGGTACAGTAATAGAGCCTGCCTCATTGGACTGGTTTGAGGATTAAGAATTAATGTGTGTAAAGGACGTAAAACAGTGCCTGGCACGTAGTAAGTCCTCTTCAAGTAGTGGTGACCGGCTTTCAGCAGCTTTGGCAGCAGTAACATCCTTCCTTTCGTTTATTATTATCTTGTCCTCTGTCTGCAAAGTTGATGCATATGATGTTGGCCACAACTACCTGATGCATATCTATAGAACCAGCTCTTCCCAGCACATGAAAGGGCTTCCATAAATACTGGCTCCGTTTCCAGAGGACCCCTTCCCAGAAACTGACATGAGAAGTGACAAGCTCAGACTCTTTTCTCTGACTTTCGGTTTTTTGTTGAAATACACAAAGCCAATTGGTTGCATGACTATGAGGAAATTTAAGTACAGGAAAGACTAAATTAAAGTATTAAGGTAACCTAGATAGTCTCATGACTACAGACATGAAGACAAAAAATGATGTTTATTGAGTCTCTCTCTGCTTAGCTCCAGTTTGCTTCTGCCAGTTAAGAAAAAAGGAAAGACAAATGAAAAGAAAGAGTGTCAACCAAGAGACTCATCTCACAATGAAATCCAGAAAGAATTTTCATTTTTTTTGTAGCCCACCAGAACATTTGGGGTTGCCCATGGAACATTACATCCCTCTTAAATGTGGCAGATATTTTGGAAAATGTGATGCTTTTGAGGACATGTATTTCTAACCTTAGCTTAATGGGGAAGAAACTTAGAATTCTTAAATATATATATATGTATATATATATATATATACATATATATATATATACATATAATTTCATAGAAGTGACAAAGTTTTCAGGTATAGTCTTGGACCCAAGTCTTGGAAACAAAGGCTGATCCTAAAGCCTGGCTCTACCAAATCCAGAGACCCTGCCTCCTCTGCTGAGTGCCAGAGACTTGGAAGTGTCCTGACAGGGCTTCATGACCCTCCTCCTAAAGACACAGGAACCTCTCACAGAGAAAGTAAGGCTGTTTCTCCCAAGGACTAAAAGCATGCCTGACTCGGGCGCCTGGGTGGCTCAGTTGGTTGAGCGACTGCCTTCGGCTCAGGTCATGATCCTGGAGTCCCGGGATCGAGTCCCGCATCGGGCTCCCTGCTCGGCAGGGAGTCTGCTTCTCTCTCTGACCCTCCCCCCTCTCGTGTGCTCTCTCTCTCATTCTCTCTCTCTCAAATAAATAAATAAAAAATCTTTAAAAAAAAAAATAAATAAATAAAAATAAAAGCATGCCTGACTCATTTTGGTTCTACCTGGCAACAGATCTTGCATCATTGATCCAAACATGTCCTTGAGCCATTATATGCAAGTGTCTTCAAAATGTAAATTAAATTATCTCCAGCAACCTCCCCTCTGAGAAAAACCGACAGTGTTGAGATTGCATTTCTTAGCAACTGTAGCCCAGTCTGAGACTTTCTTGGCACCATCTTGCAGAGATAAAATACATGATTCTCTTTTTCCTATTTAGGCACAAGATCCTCAGGTCCTGGATCAGCTGTCCAAAAACATCACCAGGATGGGACTAACAAACTTCACCCTCAACTACCTCAGGGTAAGACCGATGGGATGATTACATTTCCTGGTGAATTTGAAAAGTGCTTTAGAAGTGTATATGTATCTTGAACCAAGGAGTTAAAATGAGGTAATATAGCACAATACGTGTGTCTTACACCAACAGTGTGTATGTGTGTGTGTGTGTGTTCAATAGAGGATGGGGTTTAATTAACAAAGCAGCAAACCTAGACTTTGTCAAGGTTGAACTTGCTCTCTCTGTTTGTATGACTCTTGGAATTAATTATGCAAAGGCCAGCAATGTCTGCTCATACAGTATTTTGGTGCTCTGCCCCTCATGGTTGTCTCAAGTTTCTGATGTACTGTTGTTGGGTTCACTTCCTCTGTGTCTCCACTCAGGGAGTGTCCCTGAGGAGGGTCCCCCGACATTCAGGCCGATGGTGAAACCACAGACATTTATTTCTAAGTCTTCTTAGGGACTCTCTGTGTAACATGGAACAGATTTTCTGGGTTGGATATGAAGTTGGTTTTGATTTTTAAAAATTAGGAGTTAGGCAAAATTCTCTGCCTATATAATAACTATGGCTTCAGTATTTGGTCTAAAAGGGAAACATTTGTCACTCCGGTTTGTGGTGTAGAATTTGCAATCGTCATGTTGCAGGTAGAGGATATGGTTTCCTTCATAAAGCAGCAAGCATTGTCCTCCAGATTCCACAAGAAGTCCGTGGCCACGTTCCACATTCCTTTGCCTCTGAGTTGCTGAGCTCCCTCATTGTCATCATGTGGCCACTTCTCCAGCCCCCTGCCCCATCACGGAGTTAATGGTGTTGTTTCTTGATCCCCAAGCACTGTGCCGGTTTGTGAATTTTGTTTTGTATTCCCAACCTTCTGTATATGATCGTTTTGCATATGTCGAAATGCTGAAATGCTTTGGCCAGACTTTCTCTTCAGTGAATTAAGAACAATTTGAACAAACGCTTCCAAGTCACGCACTCAATGCCACGTGCCAGGTCCTGGGCTAGAGAGTGAAGATTCAAAGACAAAAGTCATGGTACCTGCCATCAAGAAACCCACTCCTATGAGGGCCAGACCCATAGAGAGAACATTATACACAAAATGGTAAATAACCCTGATGGAAGTTTCCAAGTGGAATTATGGGAGTATAAAACGGAGACCTCTCAGAAGAATACCTCAGAGAAGCTTTATGGAGGAGTTGATGCCTGACTTGAGTGTGAAAGAATGAAAAAAGGTAAAGCCAGGAAGGGGGCAGGAAGGACATTCCCGTTAGAGGGAAAAGAAGGGGCCTGGATTAGGGGATGGAATTCCAGGCAGATGAATGATGCCAGGACATGGAGTGAGAAGCCAGGAGAGGCGAGAGGGAGAGTAACTTAGGAACCAGATCTTGGAGCAGATTGCTGGCTGGGGGACCAGGCCAGAAGCCTCTGAAAAGATTAAACGTGAGCATGGCAGTGTCCCCCTCCTGGGGAGAGGGAGAAGAGCCGTTTTCCATCCAGCCTAGATGCCCTCAGTCCGAATCCAGGCACGGCAAGAACTGGAGACGGCTTTGCTCCGCACCACCTTACTTTGCCCCAACACCACCACCATTTTGGCAGCCCTGAACCAGGTTGTTCTCCAGTAATGGTGCTGTGGTTCCTGCTCCAGGAGGGTGGATGGACAAGCAAGTGCCTCAAGGCAGGGTAGCTGGAGCTAGGTTCTTCCACACTTCCAGGCTCTGCATTTAGAGCTGCCCCCATGGAACCACTGGTGCAATGGGAGTGGGTAGCAAGGCCTGGGGAAGTGGGGGTCTGTGGCACGCTCTAGCCACAGGAATTCAGAAGGCTGCCCTCCCTTGCTAGCCATTTCATCTTGTCAGAGACCATGAGCAGTTTAGTTTAAACCATCTGAAGATGCCTCTCCTCAGGCAGATAAAGATGTTTCATACTGTGTGTCCTCAGCTGACCCCACATTGGAATCTGGGACTTTGGATTCTGTCCTAGACTTGGTCACTCACCCTCTGGTGAAATCTGGACAGATTCACTGTTACATCTTTTAGCTGCATTTAACATAGATGAATAAATGCTAAATTTCCTTCCTCCCCTCTCCCTAGCTCCTCTTATTATCCTCAGTAAAATGGTGACTTTCACCTTGGGGTCAACAAGGTCCACCTCATTCCCACATTCTGCGATTCTCTGATTTTAACCCACAAAGACTGAGAAGATCATATCTGCAAAGTGGGGGGGGGAGAAGGGATTAGCACCAACCCCTCTCCCAACAGCGACAGGAAGAAGGCGTGTGTGGGTTTGGGCAATATGGAATCCTGATTCAAAGGCTACCACTTAAATGTAGCACTTACAGCATGTCCTGACTTCACTAGTCTTCACAATGGTCCATGTGCCCTAACACGATTTGTGTGAGAGAGCCGGACACGGAGAGTGCAAGGAAGTGAACTCAGTCACCCAGCCTTCTACCACTGAGTGGCTGGGCTGGGACTTGAACTCGGGCTGTCTGGCTCTAGAATCCCTGAGCTTCATGCAGAGCTGCCTTTCTAGTAAGAAGGGAGAGCGATGATAGTGACAGAAATTGGACCATGTCTCTCCTGCCTTGACAGGGGAGTCAGCATCATCTCTCCCCGGGGCCTTAATCCACTTTGCCACAAGTAATGACAGCTCCTTGTAGGGTTTCACGTGCAGATTAAGTGGGACAATCCATGTAAACGGCTTAGCACAGGGTCCATGGACAGAAAGCACCCAGTTAGTGTTCATGGGCATAATTTATTGAGCACCTAGTATGTCTCCATCATTGTTGTTCATGATGGAACCATGGAGAGCAACATGGCGTCTGGCTCTCTTCTCTCGCTCCGGGTCCACCTAACACTCCTTTACTTCCTCTGCTCGTGCATCCTGCCTCAGCAGCTACTTGTCCTTCCTGCCTCCATTCTTTCCTTTGTTCACTCCCTCCATCACTTATTCCTCTGTTGATTGGTTCAGGACTCTTTCACTGAGCCTACTCTGTCTTCCTGGCCTTGTGCCAGGTGCTGGGCCTTCATCGTGGAGAAGATGCGGCCCCCCTTCCAGGGCTGGGGGAGGCCAGTGGAGTGTGGTCGGCCACAGTTCCAGCAAGCTGTGCTGACAGGGAAGGGCCTACAGGGCTCGTGGGCGTCTGGGGAGGGGTCCTCTGGTGTCCAGATAGAAGCCACCCCTCCCAGCAATAACTCAAGGCGGTTGTGAGCCACTTGACAGGTCAAAGCTGAGCAGAACCTCACACTCAGTTCCCATAACCACGCATATGGGCATTTCCATGATGAGACCTGGCCTGGTTAGTGGTTACTAACCACCGAAGATTTTTTTGGATCAGAATTGGGATCAAAGATTTCATTAGTGCTCTTACCATCTGATATTCGTAAGACAGCTGAGCAATCACCCAGTGCAATCATTTATAAAACTGCTTTAAAACCTGGCGCTCCTCTGTCCTTCTGAGGAGCCAGGCCTTTGCCTCCAGCCTCAGGGGCTTATCTGAGGTATTACTTAAGTAGTTAACGAGGATCTCCAAAACCACACCCAGATCAGAAAAAGAGGTCAGACGCGTGTGTTGGCAAATATTAATCGATGGCCTTCTAAACCAGCAGAAGAATTTTTTTTTTTTTTTTTTTTAACTCCATGCATCCTGCTTTGGAAAGGAGGGCTGGAGATTTTAAATGCTCCAGACATCTGAAATTTCAATATGCTGTGTCTTTCATGTAACAAAGTTAAGCAGTACAGAAAGTAAGCAATTCCAGTCATCTCGCTTCGCCCAGACAGGTTCTTTCACTGCCGTGAAATTCTGAATCATTCTCGTGGAGGCCTGCAGTCGGGGGCTCTGCAGAGCTGCGGGAGGGGGGCCTCTGGGCACTGGAGGAAGGCGCAGGTGAAGGGCGGCGGATGCGCTTTGAGCTCGCAAATGCCGGTGATGGCACCGTCCGCGGACGCTCGCCTGGCAGCACTTTGGAGGGGGCTTTGGTGACCTGATGCTTTGGAGGTGACAACAGAACAGATGTTGTCATTTGATTTGAGTTGTCACATCGCCTGCCGTTGCCTCGTGTCTCCTCCCAGCATAAGGAGGCTGGAGGGGCTCTGTCCTGAGAGGTGTGGCCACGGCCGGCTGGCTCTCCAGTCCCCGTGGAGCCGCAACTGGTGGTCGCCGAGCTGGTATGCGGCTCTGATGAGATGTGGTCACACTTCCTGCCTCAGGGACCTCTGGCAGACCAGGGCTGGCTGGATGAGTGTCCCTGTGGTAGTCGTCCAGGCTGGGGCTGTTCACTCCACAAGCATCTATTAGACAACTTCTTTATGCCAGGTCTCCACAACTTTCAAGGCGGTCGCTGTACATCAGGTACAAAAGAAAACCAAACCTGTGCTGGGAGAGAAATCTGTCCCGATACAGTGATCCACGTAGTCACTAACATTTATTGAGCACTTACTATATCCCAGGTACTGTTGCTAGGTACTTGGCAGGAAGTCTTTTTTTTTTTTTTTTTTTAATATTCATGACAACCTTATGAATTAGAGACTCTTTTTAGTCCTATTTTTCAGGGGAGGAAACCGAGACACAGAGAAGTAGCTTTTTATAGTCACAAAGCTGGTAAGTGGCAGAGTAGGGATTTGATCCCACAGCCAAGCACGAAGAGGGGAGAGGTTGTTGGAGTGTGGACATGGGAGTCTCCAAGCCTTCAAGGAGGAGATGGCCCTTTGAATTGACTCTGAAAGACGAGTAGGTGGTCCCAGGTAGACTAGATGAAGAGTCCACCACGAGTAGTGACAGAGGAGGATGGAGAAAGCCGGTGGGTTTGGGGAACTCCAGGCAGTTTCACATGGATGGAATGTAAGTTTTAAGTTTGTTTTAGGTACCAACACAAGGTAGGTATAATGGCCCAAAATGTATAGTTGAGCTGAGTGGCATGGTTCTAGAGAGAGTTTTGTTCCAGCAAGAATACAGCATAGTCAGGGAAAGCACCTCATGCTGGCACTTGGGTTTGGGGGCCAGACAGACAGGAGTATGTATTTG